AAAAAAAAAAAGAAGTTTGGCAATTTGTTGATTTTATTCTTTGTTTTAAGGGTTGGCCGGTTAGGGGTGGCCCGCAGGGGATTATAATTCCTGAACCCCATGATTTCATTGCTGAAAGTAAAATTGAATATATGAAACAAATCTGCCTGCTCTACACAGTGGATGCTGTCGTATCCAGAAAATATAAAAGCTGATATGCACATTATCTGAATATCCAATGGGATCTAAGAAAAATCCCATTACAAGCATTCTTGTAACCACCTTGGTTGCTTATTTTTGATTTTTTTTTTTTATTTCTTAAACGCAAAGAAGCTACACTTAAGAGTTGGATATTTTTGGGTAATTAAGTGTGTCTTTATAAGTCAAGTTCATGATCTCAAATCTTGAGATTAGTATAATAAAATTAATTTTTTAAAATGTATTAGGAGATCCACCCTTCCAATCGCACACAAACAAATTAATTTTAAGATGGGTGAAAGATGTTCAGCAGAGAATCCCATATTGTAAATTCCAAGAAAAAGATGAATAGAGAAGCTACACATCCAAGTAGATGGAGAAAAAGGGATAATTTTTTGAGTTAGACCAAGTTGCACTAATGTAATTTACAGGATAATTTATATTAGTCAATAATCTTTTATATAATTTTGTATTTTTTAAAATTAATTGTTAGATTTAATATTTTATTTGTATAAATAATACATGTCAAAATTTTGAATTAATTGGATGTATTTTACTATTTCATAATTACACTTAATTTTAGACCCGTAAATAAATATTAAAAATACAATTTATTTGTTCATAAAGTTATAAATATCAAATCACCTTACGAACCCAACCTTTGGGTGCTAGTGGTTCGCTCCCAGTTTTTAAGCGTTTGGGTTTATTGGTTGAGGCTTGGGTTTATTGGTCAAGGCTTCAAGCCCCACCAATACTTGAAAATTTCATTCCCTTTTCCCCAAATTGTAGAGTGTTCGAAAAAAAAAAAAAAATTCACCTTGAAATTTAACATATATAATCTACATAAATATAATATTAAGTTTAATAGTTGGGTTGATAAAATACAAACCATACAAAAATTATTAATCGATATAAATAATGGTGTAAGTTAAACTAAGTAGATCCTAACTCTAATTTTGTTATGTTGGGTAGTCGCTATTAGTAGTATATAGAAAGTGATTTATGCATTATTTTTACCTCATAATGGTTTCTCATAATCATGTCCTTGTAATTATACAATCAATGCAATATATAATATGATGTGACATTAAATTGTAATTAAATATATATTAATTTACGAATTTATGATCTTTAGATAAAAAACGTTAATTATAAAATATTATGTCATATACATAAATATTATACTTATATCATTGTCCTTTAACTACCTGCATGCTAAGACGTCTCTTGATAAAGGTAAGATGCAAAGGTAAAACAGAATGCAAACGGTGCCTTTAATCACCATGGTAAAGGCGCGGTGGAACAATTAATCTTGGTCCCTCCAAGTGGATAACTACTAAATTTTCAGTAGATTAGGATAAAGATGGGTTGATCTCCAAATTACCTTTTTCATTTCATTTTCTTTGGGAGTATCTAAAGTTTGGACATTTCATTTTCATAATCAAGAGAAAATTCTTGCATTGTCATTGATAGGTCAAATTGAAAACAGCTGCATCGAATTGACTAACAAAAAATGCAATAGCAGAATGCAACTTCAATTATTCCACAACCCCAGCTTTTTATTGGCTGATTACCTTACAACTGTTTGGGCCATAAAATACAAGAAGAGCTAGTTCATGACTCGATAGGGCATTATTCCAATTGTCAAAAGACATGTTGATGAAAAAATTCCTCAACACGATGCATTTAACCAGCAATAAACACAGAAAGATAACAATTTATTTTCATCAAAATTTTGCCCCAATTAACTGTTCTATTTAGATTTTTAGAGTAAAAAATTGTTGTACAATCTGAAATGTATCAAACTACATAATTTAAACTATTGAATGTGGAACCCACCATATTGAGGGTTATCTCTGCATTCGACGGTTCTTATTTTATAATTTAAATTATAAAATATGATTTTCTTTTTAAAATGGATTTTTTTTTCATTATAATCCTATAGTTAGAGCATATTTTCAATAATGCACCTATTAATATCTATGTCTCTAATCAATAATGAAGGGTGGAATTGAATGTGTATAAATTAATCACAGCAATAACTATAATCTTTATTCTATGTGCACAATCAAAGTATGAAAAATTAATATTATGGGACAAAGGAAGTAATTAATAGGAGCTATAAGTAAAACTTGACATGGATTTGGTCCCATTGTAAAGGATTGGTAATATTCTTTTTCTTTCATCATATATATGAACAACATATATCAAGGGTATAAATTAATTTGCAAAGTTTAGGTATCAATGACTTGTGATATCAAATCCTGCCTTCATGAATGGGGTGGTGAATAAAACAGGAAGGATTATGATTCCGAAGCCAAAATAATGGAGGCCAAATGAAGGTTGAAATTTTTTCCACCGTTGATCACATGTAAGTTTCACATTATTACACGTGTCCCACATAATCAATTTTTAGCTCATGCTTTCAAATTTTTTGGCCTCTCAATGAATTTCCAAATGATAATGGTTACTCTTGTTGTGTAACTCATGTAAAAAAAATGTAACATAATTTCTTCAAATTATATGAAAAACACAATGCAAAATTGCAAATAATGAAAATTTTCCATGTATGTCGCTTTTGAACTCAAGAGCTTAGTCTTCCTAGTAATTATGGATTGCCAGCTTTGTAAAATGATAGCTTTGTCCTGTTTTAGAACTTAACATTTATGATAAGTATGATTTAGGTTTTTTTTTAATAAAAAATAAAAAAGAGCTTTTTTTCTTTTTCAATTCTACCAAAGTCTTACATGTTCAAAGAATCATCATATCTTCTAATGTTTTGAGCATCTCCTTCATATATTTCCATCTTAATCATGTGCTTAAAGTGTGACACTAGAGGGTCCCTCTCGCCCCCACACCATTGCTACAGTGACCCTCAAGATGCTAACAGATAAACTAAACGCAGCACCACCTTCCCCAAAAGTGATTATTCTTGCTCCTCCTTAATACCCCATCCTAAGAAAAAAAATTTATGCTACTTTTTCTGTGGCAACATTCCACTTTTAGGTTAAGATAATCTTTTGATAATAATAATTAAGCAATTTAAAAAGGCTTGAAATCCAAAATTTTGATTTCAAAGTCAAGAATTTTACAGTTAGTGCATGATGAGGTCCTTTAGTCCTATTTATTTTGTTATTTCTTGTTATTTTGTTAGTTATTGTATGATCAAGAGAATGATGATGGAATGTTATTAATTTTAAATAAAAAAAAATGGAGAGTTCTTGGTTTAGGGCGTGGGGTGCAGCAACTTAGGGTGGCAGCAGCTCCAGACGGTGGCAAGGACACAACTGGAGGTTTGTAGATTATGGGAACAGGACACAGGGACATGTGGTGTCGTTTTTCATCTATAATTTTCCAGAGGATTGGGATGCAAAGGCTTTGTGGTATTGATTTCAGAAATGTGGATAGGTTGTTGATGTATTTGTGCTGGGTAAGAAAGACAGATGGGGTAAAAGGTTTGGTTTCGTTCGAATGATAGGGGTGCAGGATGTGAAACAACTAGAAGAGAGACTTAATAGGATATGGATTGGATCCTATATACTGAGGGCAAGAGCGGTGACTGATAGGGGGTAGAGAGGGATTGGAAATCAGAGGAATGTTGGGAATAAGGTTGTGAATGATAGGGAACAAAGAGGAATAGGTAATTCGAGGTCTGTTGGATTAAAGGTTGGCATCAGGGAACAACATTTTGTCCAACCAGGGATGTCATATGTCCAAGTTGTTATGGGAAGATCTTTGAGGATAGTCAACACTCCGGTTCGGAACAAACAAGCAGACAACAAAGTAAGAGCTAAAACTGTGGATAGGGTCTCTATCAATCAGGGGAAGCTTATAAACCTTGAGGTTGAAAGCTCTGGTGACAAGGAGGGTGTTAATAATACAAGACATAATAGGGAGGAGATTATAGAATTTTCTCCATTGAAAGAGGAGAATCAGTGGCTGAAGGGTAGTATGATAGCAGTGGTTAAGTCAATGTCAATGATCTCTACTATTCAAGAAAGAGTGGATGTGGATGGGGGTTTGATCAATCTATCACCATTGGGAGGGAGAAGCTTATTGTTAACTGACCGGTTGGAGGGATACTTGAGTGAGTATATGTAGTAGGACAAAGATTTATTTGATCTCTGGTGTGAGGCTATTTATCCATGGCTTGTGGCGCCTTAGAATTGTGGTAGAATGGTATGGTTGCGAATATCTGGAGTTCCATTAAAAGCATGGAGTGATCAGTGTTTTTAGAGAATAGCAGCTTCATTAAAGGAAGTGGTAATGGTTCGAGAAGATACAAAATTGAAATCAATTTCATGTGATGGAAGAGTATTGATTTTATGTTCTGAAATGCACAAAATTTCAAAAACCTTGAAGCTAAAAGTGGAGGAGATGATGTATGAGGTAGGGTGACAGAGGAAGAGTGGCGTGTCGATCTGGACTGGTGGCTGGCGGATGATGATCGCGGGGAGAGACAGAAACGAAATCAGAATATTCCTCATCAAAAATTGGTGATGATGAGTATCACAAATTGAATTTTTTGAGATTCATGGCGATGATGAAGAAGTTATTGATGAGGAACGGTTACAAGTGGAGGGTAATTTGAATTCAAATAAAGTAGCAATAACGGCTAGCATAGGGTTTGTAGGAGAGGAGGATAAGGGGTTGGATGGGCCTGGTAGTGAAAAAGGCCTGATGATGGGTCCGAATGATGGGCTAGAAGATGGGTTTGGGCCAAATGTGAGTATGACTCAAGTGAAGGAAATAGATGAAATGGGGGATGGGCCGAAGAACAATTTTGGTAAAATAGGTACAATGAAGGGGACATTTGATGGGGAATTAAACACTGCTTTGAATTTAGGTATTAGGGATTCAAGAGAAAAGAAAAAAAAAAAGAGTTAAAAGATTGCTACCCACAAGATAAGGTCGTAGGTTGTGAAGTGGGAA